TGTGAATAAACCTGGTGTGAGCCTGGAGGATGCTCAGCGTGCTGAAGATGGTTTCCACTCTGGCAGTGTAGATTCTCAGGGCCATGTCCACTTTTCTGTTTGAGGATGTCACTCTGGAATGGCGTCCTTTTCCTCACCCCTAGTTGCTCTCATTAAACACTAAGAAAAAGGTGCTGTGCAAGTAATGGACTTTTCTATTCCCACTGCACAGTGGGTCAGTGGCATTTCTGAGAGGCCGTGCCCGGTTTAGGGGGAAGGGTGAAGAATACCCCTCTGTTGGCTCAGTTTTCTTATACTGCAAGTGAGGGGAACAAAGGTGCATGAAAAATTAATCCAGCAAATGATTTTACTGATTATTATGTAGCTCCAAAATTCTCTATATTATCCTGTGCAGAGGGCCTTAAAGATAAATTCCAAAACTTCCAGTAATGGTTTGAAGACATATTTGTCAAAACATTTTAAAATGCTATACCCGAGTAATATAAACCATATCATATATGGTCAGATAGAATAGAAGCACCACTATAGGAAATAAACCATAAAGTAAAATTTACGAAAAATTTTAAAATATGTTAGGTAAGATTTGAATCATCTGAGAGCCTGAATTTCATACTTTTGGTCTACAGAGAAGTAGATTTCAGTGAGTTCATCTGTATTATTTTGGAGACCTGAATGTTACTGCTGTCGTTTCAAACCACTAGAAGATACTAGGGATAACTAAATTATTCATGGCAAATATTATAGAACATGCAAATGCATTCCTCTTCTTGGTTTTGTGCTTGTTTGGGTTTTTTTGGTTTGAGATTTTGGGGATTTTTTTTTCATTTTTAAACAGATCTCTAAGTGTTGTAAGTGTACTCAATATTCACCCATAATACGCAAGCAAAGAACACTGTAAATGTCTGTTCATGGAATCTTCAATGTGTACAAGGTCCCATGAGATTGTTTCTAGGCCCAAATTTCAGGCCCATGACCACATGCCAAAGATAAAATGATGAGAATTACAATAGTGGGGGAAAATTTCTTCATCACCAAAAAGCCTTTGGTCAACGTAATGATGATTTTTTTTCAAGACAATGTTTTGATTGGACATGGTGAATATTTGGGGACTATTCAAATGCTGGAAATATATTTAAATTGGAGTAAATCCACTGATTCATTTCCAAAATATTGTTGAAAGAAAAATCAATTTTGTTAGGCAAAAAATAAATCAAGGGCAATCAGAAAACCTGCAGCCATAGGAATTCTGAGTTAAATTTAAAAAAAGGATATTTACTCATCTTACTGTCATTTCTTTGCATACTATGGCCTGAAACTAAGGCTATGGTCCTATATTTGACTCTGCTTTGCCATCAGCCTCCACTTTTTGTGAGGGAGCAGTGGTTGCAGAATCTCCTAGTTGCCAATTCTCATTACATTGCATGAATCTTGTTGTATTTGACAGTTTTCAAAAAGCCCAAGCTCCAGGAGACTGAAAAATCTCCTGAGAACCCCAGTTTTTGATTACAAGGAGAAAAACAATGCTGTAGTCCTCATGACTGTAGAAACAAGAGAAAAAATTATCTTTACTCTGCTCCCAATATGGCAAAAGCTCATTAACCCAGAGGCAAAATCAAACATCTCTTAGAACTCACTATGTTTGATTTTTTTTTCCTAAGCAGGAAGAAGAGGAAGTCAGAGAGTGGTCTGACATTTTTAAAACCCGGTAAAAACAATACTGGAATTCAGGTCATTAACTTCAGCTGAAAACAGAGAGAAAAATGGGCTCTTTCTTGTCATTAAGTCACAGAATTTTGAAACAGGTGTATGGTAAAGCACAGGATTTTAAAAAAGAAATCACCATATCACAGGGACAGTAGCAAATGAATCTGCCAGACAGCATACAAATAACAGATACACATTATCTGTAACTCCCTTTGAATTAACAAAATAGCCCATTTTATTAGAATCCCATTGCCTTGCCTGTTGAATTGAAAATGCACAAAGCTGGTGCATCAGATGATCTCATGGAAGGCCAAGCCTGACATAGGTTGCTTTGCATTGTCATCCTACTGTATATCAATGAATAAGCATGAGCTGCATTTTTTAGTTCTTCACATCCCTTTTGGTATCAGCCCAGTGGAACAATTGCACTGAACACTGTTATATGCTCATTGTGTTTTATATGATGATTGGAGTAGCGCACAGTTCCTTATTAATAAAATTCTGCTCTGCAGCAGATGTATGTGGCAGCCATGTATGATGACAATACACAATAGGAACTGCTCATTTCTACACTGTTTCTAGGGAAGTAAAGGGTTACTAGGGGAAGCGGTGTTTTATCACACATTCGACATTGCAAAAAATAGCCTAGAAGACTCAAATGCTTGCACTGAAGTCTCCACATTTCTGTAATTAATACCACAATGAGCTATTTTGGATATGGTTAGCATATGCTTTCTGTCCGATATATGTATAGTTAATGATATCTGGGGAGGTGTATGAAAGAGAGAGAAAATCTTCCCTTAAATACTGAGAGAGGAAGAATTTGGCTCAGTGCTGAAGGGCAGAGCTACTCATCACATCGTCTCGGCGGAGCTGCCTCTATGCTGGGGGTGGGGAGGCAGCAACACCAGACACCGTAAGTCTCGTACAGCTGGCATAGTGTGCCTGCACAGCGTGAGAGATCGAAAATCATATGTGCCTTTCTGTTTCTGATGACCCTTCTTCACAACCAGGTTTTGGGCTGTATTTTCTTTTTCCTAGTCAATTTGTGGCCAATGAAAGTTTCTAGACTGACAGTTGAAGAGATCGATCTCCTTTAATAGCCACAGCCAATGACCAGTGCAGACACAGTCCTGAGTATTACAATTGATCCATGCGAGCCTCCATGTTTCACGCCACGAATTGCATTGCTGTGAAGTGGGTGTCAGATGTGACCTCCTCTATAATGGCTATGCAAAGCATGGTAAAGACCTGCCACAATTTTCTTCGAATGTATGCAAAGAGCTGAGCAAGGAGCAAAGCATCTATTGGATGATAGAGTCCAATAATTCCTGAATTTGACCTGGAAGGTTTAATTTCCAGTTGATTTCGTATTATATATATTATATATTATATATATTATATTTCTTGATGCCAGAAACAGAGCTTCTATAACAGAAGTAGTAGCTTATTGCCCTATGTCCTGCGAAACAGATCTGAGTCTCACCACCTCACGCTGCAGATTGTGGTACCGTTTAGCCAGCACTGATCAGTTTGGACTTGCAGTTCTTAAGTCAGAGGCATCATATCTCATTACATTAGTTTTGCTGAACTATGCTGTATTACAGCATGCATTTGCATTGACTTATGCAGAGCTGTATATACCTCATGCTTTGCCTCCTTCAGAAATATGTTGGTGTTTTTCCCATGGATAAACTCACGGTAAGCAAGTGCTCACTTCTACTCATTTGTGCACGTGCAGTTCAGATTGTATGCTTCTGAACCTAGTCATGTTACATCCCATGTTAGCTGATTAAGATCAGTAGCTGGGAGTTGATTAATTGACTTTTCAGAAGCTCAGCTGTAAGTTTCCTGTGTCTTTCCCATTATACATGGGGAATAAAATGAAACCTTAAAAAAGTGCAAGAAATGGTTCATTTCATTCCTGAACTCATCACCTTAAATTACTGCAGAGGTCCTTATGCCACCAGGACTTCCCAAATCTTCCCACGGACTGCATCAAAAAATCTCAGGTGTGAGCCAAGGTTCTCATCAAAGACACAATTCATCAAGTTTTCCACTGGCGGGAGGCTGGGGACTGTACCTGCAAGCACGTGGCATCCCCCCCAGCTTCCACCTTCTCCAGAAGCACAGACATCCACCAAACCTTGAAGGAGAGGACCCGCACTGTTCTCAGTGGTGTAAAACCAAGGAGTTTGTTGCTGCAGTCAGATGCTGTTAGGGAGCAGGATGAAACCCCAAATCTACATGACCCTGCCAAGTCAGCAGCCTCAGCAAAACCCAGGCTTCCCTGGAGGGACTAATTTTGCTTTATAGGAACTGGCTGAAATTAATGCAGCCTAAAGTCCTTAAGATAAAACTAAGGCACTGCAGAAGCATGCTCACCACCCTCCTACAGGTTATCTGACAGCATTTTTTCCCCCGAATGTTCATTAGTCACTTCACTCTGATGAAATTCATGACTACTAAAGTCAACTCCTACTGATCTCCCTGGATAATTAGGTTTCAAGCACTATCATTTAAGGAAAAATAACCAAAAAGTGTCCCAGGACTGAAAGAATTGCCATAAATCAGCAATGTGGTATGACAAAGTGAATACCAGATTTATTATTATCTTTAAGTTACCACGATGTTTTTGTCCCCAAATGGTTAAGTTTTGAATTATTAAAAAAAATGTACCTTTTTATTGATACTAGTTCTTAGGATCAACTGATGTTAAAAGATTAAAAAGTGTTGTTTAAAACATTAGTAACATTGTAGCAAAACTACTTTTTATTTGCATGGGACACCACCCACTAAAATAGCTTTAAGAAACTAAAAAGCTTATTTTCAACCTTAAACTTAAAATTCAAGTTACATCGTCCTTTAAATAATGTATCAAAATAACAAGCCTTAATTATTAAACAAACTAATTATGGTTTTATACAACTGAGGTTGAATTTCTGCAGCAGTAAAGAATGGTTCTCAATAAAAGAGCTATGCCATGGGTGGGGCAAAGCAATAAACATAGCCGGTTTTTGCCTTTATCAATCTCTACATTAAAGAAATATTTAAAGTGATATACTCACATGGTAACAAATTATAAGATATGCAATTTTTTACTGAAATCTGTCTAAAAACTAGCTTCAAAGACCACAAATTTATCTATTGGTGAGCAAAAATATTGAAAAAAATGAGAATGATGACTGAGGTTTGAGGCATCTCCAAACGTTTTATAGTATCCCGTGTCTCAGTACCAGCTTTTATGCTTCATATCCATTGATACAGTTCTCCAAAGAGAGGACATAAATACCATCCAGGTTTTAAAACATTTTATTTGCATATTAAAAAAATTGTGCATTCCAATAATTAAAATCATTTGAACAAAAAAAAAAAATGGCACTCGATTAACTGCATTTTACAGATCGCAGGACCTTGGTACAGCTTTGCATTTATTCGTGTTACTCTAGTTTACTGTAGTCCCACCCAAGTTCTTCTTTCATCAACATGCAAGCTCTTTCATGCCACCAGGACCAAAGCCAGACAGGCAGAGGGAAAGGCAGCGCCTTCATTCAGTGTCAGTAGTTCTCTCTATTCTTTTGATGTGAAAGGGGCAGTACAGTCATTTTAAACTTTATCCAACCTCTTTGCATCTTACAAAGTTAAACAGCTAAAAGAAGTAAAATAAGAAGGCAATGCTTGTGGAATGTACAGTGCATAATTTGGAAGGGCAGATTTCATTACGATTCACCCGCTTGCTTCTCCTGTTCAATTGCTAAAAAGGGGGAAAAACAGAGAAAACAAAATGAAGATCGGGAACCTCAAATGCATTCACATGACAATTGCTATAATATAGGTATATTTTTAGCTACATATCGAAACAGGATGTAAATAATTGTAAATTAAGCGCTGCTAGGCGGTGGGTTCAGGTTTTCGCTGTCTGGCACAGTCACAGCTGTGTATCCTCCCTCCACCCCGCACCCGCCGCACCCCCGGCTCCCCGCCTGCCGCCCCTCTTTGTCTCCTCCCGCCTTCCTCCCTTCATCCCTCCCTGCCCGTCTCCCTCCCTCTCTGCCTCCCTCCCTGCCTGCCCGCACTCACTTTCTTTTGAAGGCAGCGGGTTTTTCTCTTGCGTCTCTGTCTTCTTCAATTTGGACTTGTCAAATTTCTCGATCTCAGCCATGTCTGGTTTGTCGGACATGTTGGCAGGTGACTCTGGAGGGGAACAACCCGTTACCCCCAGCGAGGGCTCCCCGCTCCCCAAGGCGCCCCTGTGGGGCCGCGCCCGCCGCACCCAACGCGGGGACCCGCGGAACCCGCACGCTCAAGTACGCCGAAAATAAAACGCTTCACCCCCGACATACTTAAAAATAATAGTAATTTTAAAAAGTGTCCGTTTAATCCAGCATCCAAAGCGGTGCAGCCCGCCGCCAGCCGCCGCCGGGAGCTGCTCCCAGTATCTGCGCTCTGCGGAGTACAATAGAGGGGACGCGCCCGGAGCTGACCGCGTTTTTACCTCGTTCGGGGGAAAATAATTAAAAAATAAAGCCGTATTGGTATCTTATTATG